CATAAATTACATATTCGAATTCTCAATAAAAATTTTATGTAATATAATTTTGCTTGAGTACCATTGCGATCACTTGCAAGTCTTGAGTTTTTTTTTTTTTACCAATTTACACTATCCTAAATTCGTTTTTTGTTTTCAAAACAGAAACTATTCTTCTTTTCTAGGCTTTTGCTTCGTTGGATCGCGAATTAGGATTGATCTAAATAATAAAGATTCAACTTGGGATAAAAACCAGAAATAATAGATTGATAAGTACCAATTTTTATTTTGGTTTCTTTATTTCCGACGTGGAACTAACACTTGCCTCTCTTTTGTAGGTTTTTTTTTTGTGAAATGGTTGAGACATTAAATTGGGCAATTGTGGTGAGAAACTATAAAACTGAATAAGTGATAAGTATTAGTTTGTTTCTAGGTTTGATTTTCTTCTTTTTTTCGAAATAGAAACCGAAAATTTATTCTCTTTGTAGGTCTTTTCTCGGTTGGGACGCGTTTAAAATGTTTCGTGATTCAAACGAAAATATATGAGAATTTATCCAAGAATTGAAAAAGTTACTGTGAAATTGGCTACAAGAATCCTTCATATTGGATAGAAGGTTTGTTACAACAAATCTTGTACAAGTATCAATTAGAATGAGGATCTCTTGTATTATATAGCCTTTAATTTTGACTCTATTCATTCGCAGGAACTCGTTCACAGATATTTACATGGTGGAAGCATTTTGCACTCTTGCTTTGCATAACACATATATTACTGATCTTGGCCTTCTTAAAATGTGAGGAAGTTCTGCCATATAAGAGTGCCGTCAAAGGAAAACCTACATACTGGCTTTCAATTATATTTTGTGCGCAGTTAGTCGTCTATGGAAAATCTATCATGATGATAGATTTTCCATAGACGGCTAACTGTACACAAAATATAATCGAAAGCCAGCATGCATTCATAAAGCATTTGTGGTTCAAGGAGTCAACCGTATACTCAAGTATCAGATGCTTACAGTCTTGGAGTTATCATGATTGAGATTTTGACTGAACAGAGAGCATTTGATGGAATTCCATTTTATACTGTTGTTATTTTGCATATCAAGAATTATTGGTGGATCGAAATAGAAACTATTTTTTTTTTTTATTGAAGCGAAATGGATGGGATCATAATGTAGTCATTATGTTGTAATTAAAAGTTATGTTTAATATATCAATATATGAATATGTAATATTCGAATCTTTATTTTAATAAATAAAATACAAATATATAAAAAAAACTAATGCAATTATCGTTGCGCCATTTAACACTACCACTCGTTCTTTATTGCAATATAAATTATTCATATTTATAATTATTTGGTAAAAAAAAAAAAAAAATCCAATGATATTATCATAATGATCTTGTAAGCCCAACGCTCTTGGTTCTCTTATGATTTCACTCACACACCCACAAAGTAAATTCATCGTCTTAGAAAAATCATGGCATATGCTATTCCAAAACCCTAAAGATCTAAAAAAAAAGAAGCATTAGTAAAAGAATTGGAACAAAGATAATTGAAGAATCAAAACTTATCAAATATCCAGTTTCCAGCCCACTATCATATAAAGATTTTACTCTACAAAAGTAAACAATTATATTAACAGCATTACTAAAGAAAAAAGTACTAGCTAATGTCATGTATTAATCTCATCCATCATTCTAATGAAAGAATACTTACGTTGTCTTAGTTTCAGATTGTTTCCAATCCACATATTGATGAGGAACTACAGAAGAAAGATTAGAAAAAAAAAAGAGCTTCTCAAGATCTAAACAAAGACCTACGAGGGAAAAATAATAACTTCCAATTCCTCATTCGTGTTCTAGTGAAGTGAATCTTACGAAGAAAGAAACCCAGATCAAAAGAATGAAAACTGGTACTTATTGTTGCTTCTTGCTCAAATTACTCAGATCCAAATCTTTGGGTACTTATTTTTACGTTTCAACCTCTAACAAAGCAAAAGACCTATAAAAAAGAAGTTGTTAATTTCTATCTCTAATAAAAAAAAATAAAAAATAACAGAGGACTGATACTTATTGTCACACTTTTTCTCCCAGATCGCCCAAATCAAATGCTCATTTCTGTGTTCTAACCATCTCAATGAAGAACAAGCTCATAAAAAGAAGAAATTGTTAGTTCCTGGTTTAAAAAAAGAAACCTCAATACAAAGTATGAAGAGAAACTGATCTTTGTTATTTATACCAGTTTCACAGTTTCTCATGCCGATCACCGGATCTGAGCCTTCAAGTGCCTATTTCGTGTTTAAGCTACTCCGATGAATAAAAACTTACAAAGAGAAAAAGTGGTTTAGTTTTTTTTTTAAAAAAAAAATTAATATTAATATTAATAATTGATTTAAAAAGTTTAAAAATTTGATTTTTGGGTGACTTGTAGATTATATAATAAAAATGCAATCCCGTAATAGATAAAATTCTACTAATCTGTACAAAGTTATTTTTGCTTTTATATTAGATATATAGTATCAGGGTTGGCATGGACCGGTCAATGGTCAAGCTTGACCAGACCAGTTTGACCAATTTGACTAGTTGGTCAAAGGGTTTAGTATTGGTCAAATTGGTCAAAGGATATTAAAATATATAGTATATATACGCATATATATTTCTATATATATTTACTTTGTATACTAAATTTATTTATTTAATAGACTAGGACATTTGACCAATTTGACCAGCCATTTGACCAGACTGGTTTGATCAATGAATTTTTGGTCGACCAGTAATTTGACAACCCTGATTATCTTATACCTGTATAGATCTTGGCATACGCAGACGGTGTTCCTTCGATGTGTCTTTCTCGAAGACCGTTTTTAATTCCTAAGATTAATGTTGCAAGTTGATATGGTTCAACATCATCTTTAAAAAGTGGATAACTACTAGATATTTCCCATATAAGAACACCAATACTATATATATCGGATTTTTTATTAAATTTAAATTTTTTATTTCCATTTCTAGATCCTTCAAAACACTGAGAATCTATATATGTAATAATTCTAAAAAATTTTTGACTTGAATTTGTCATTTCATCCAATATTTTCGAAAGCCCAAAGTCTGTAAGCTTAATATTCTTTTGATGAACAAGTATATTATTTGAATGCTTTTAAAATTAAAAAATATATGAGCTTTATGAAAATAATAAAAAATCATAAAGTATTGTAATTGAAAAATTACCAGATCACAATATATTATACCTTCAACATGCAAGCATTTAATAGCACTAGCAATCTGTAGAGCAAAATCCTTCCAAGAAAGACCTTTAAAATTATTTCGCAAATATGACCTTAAGGTTCCACTGTCAGCATATTCAAGAACGAACATATAATGTGTGGAACTTGAATTCTGTTTATCTATAATTCAAAATAGGAGAAATTTATCTATTTCAAAAGAAATAAATATTCGATTTATAATTTAAAATAGTGACATTACCTTCATTTTTAGTAGCACCGTGTAGACGTATAATATTAGAATGCATGTCTACTTTGCAATGTAATTTAAGCTATGGATATTTACAATTTGTAATTAATAAATATTATAGAGTGACTATGAAAAAAAATAAAGCCAGTAATATATAGATAAACTACCTCATTAACAATCTCTTTAATAGTCACATTATTACTTTTAAATGACTTTAAAGTGACAGTAACATCATTATCTTTGAGAGTAGCATGATACACTTTTCCATAACCACCTTCACCAATCAACTCAACGTCCTTGAAGCGAGTATATTTATAAATTTTGATATGTCCTTCAATAAGGTATTTTTGAACTAAATCATCTGATGGGTCCATAACTAATAAATACGTATGTATGTAAGTGCTTGAAAACCTTTTTGAGTGCAAATCTGTAAATTATATAATACAAGTAGCTTTCAACATAAGAATCCTCAATATAAGAAACTCTCGATATAAATCAAGATTCACTTGTACCGATTGTTTACAGTATTCGAAATTTCAGATCCAATTACTGTCCTCATATATATACAAACTAGTGATATGAAAAATTATGGGCCGGGTTGATCCTAAAAAAGCTTGGGCCGGTCGACCGGACCGAACTTTTTTGCAAATATAAATTTTTATAATAAGAATTAGTCTCGATATCTATATCAAACGTGTAGAAAGTCATCAGATAGTTACTTTCCAAATTCTAGTATAGTAAAATAATTTAGTTTTTATTCATTTTGTATTTAATGCTGCGATGAATAGGGAGTTCAAGAGAGTAATCTTCTAAAGATGGAGTATACAAGGAGTTGAGATATTCTTTTATCGACCGGCCCGGCCCACAAGAGCCCGTCGGCCCGACCGTTAGGCTGGAGTCAGCCCGTATCACTAAAGTTGCCTTAGTATTAAAAAAAGATAAATATTTATTCATTTATTAGAAATTAGATTAATGCAGGTATATTTATTGGCTAGCTTAGTATGGCAATGTTATTCAGCTGTTTATTATATACTTACACAAAAATTATTTTACCATTCTCAAAAAAACTTTTAATAGTGAACAGTAAAAAATTTATATGTGCACAAATTTATATTAATGTTCTCATGAGGACACTAATTTTGACCCTGATCTTAAAATCTTGCGCTAGTGGTTATTCTTATGGTTGATTTGTATCCTTAGTGCAATGTTTCCTGATATAGTACGTACGTACGTACCAGAAACAGAGTGCAACGAAGTGCATGGTCATATGACAAGTGAAGGGGTGTATCCGAATTCATGAATTGTGTTTCATGTGATTTTGTTGTGTTATGATACTCATTTTGGCGGATCGGCGGAATTGGCCTTTTTAATCAGACTCTAAATTAATCATTTTAAGGGTAATAATAATTATATCAAATTAATAAATTATACAGATATCAGTTAGTATATCAGAGAATGACATATTTCATTAATGATTAATAAAATAATAGGGTTCAAATTCAGATGATCTAAAAAAGGTCCAATTCTGCCAATCCGCCGAAATGTTCTATATTTGTCAGTTCTTTCTGACAGAACGTGCGCATGTATCGTATATATATCCTATAAAAAAATTTAGGGATGGGTTCGGTCAGTTATAGTCGGTCAGTTATTATCGGCTAAGCCTCGGTCAGTCGTACTAGTATGGCTAAATATCCGGTTACAGCCAATAAATTATTTAATCAATTACAGAATACATCAACCAATATTGTAATAGTACATGAAATTTAATATTGATCTATCGTTGATATCTCGTGATCTAATAATTAATTTTCGATGATTTTAGTACCATGCGAATTGTTATATAAAGACGATTCTAATGGTACTGTACTAAAATCTTCGAAATTATATCACCAAATGATAAATGACTAGTCATTGGGTCATTTAACATATGTTAATTGATATTCTATTGCCCTCTAGCCAAACAGAATTTGCCGGCAAACAAAATTAAAATATAATCGATAATCGTAGCTATATAAAGTCAAAAATTTTACTAAGTCAATTAATATTTATATCTTAAATAAAGTTGTCTTAAATAATAAATTGCATGTATTCTGAAATTTTCATGTAAACTGAAGGACTTTTATTAATTTACTTCTGCACTTTACATTTATAAAAAAAGTTTTCAATTAATAAAAGTTATTAATTGACTTAGTAAAACTTACTTTAATATGTATATAGCTACGATTATCAATTAGGAATATAATAATGTTTAATAACTTTTTATATGAGCAATTCGGCCAATAAAACTATTTTATATGCAAATGACCTATGTAAATGAGCTTCTTGTCATGATTTGATGATTTGGGTCATTTAAATTTCGATCAAACGACCGGATCATTTACAATTCTCGGGCATATAAATTTTTATTGGGCTTAGGCCCGAGTATACAAATACCTAGCCTAACCCAGCCTATTTCAAAACCTATAGACCAAATGACTCTCAAATGACTCCGGTCATTTCTAAATGACCATGGTTATTTGGTCACGAGTCATTTCCAAATGATCCAAAATTATAAACGATAAGAGGTTATTTGAAAATTTTGCAAATGACCAGGTTATTTACCATCATTGAATACGAGATATCGACGATAAATTAATACTATATTCATGTGCTATTATGAATTTGATTGAGGTTTATATGAATTTGTTTGACATTCTGTATTTAATCAAATATCCAAATAGACGATAAAATATCTTTCTCTTCTATTTTTATTAATACAAAATTAATTACCTATTACAAGTGTCCTATACATTTTCACTAATCATTTTGTTCATATAATAATTAGGTATTAATTTGTGCGTAGCTACTATATTTCTGAAGGAGACAGATCACCATATTCCCAGATAGCTGCAGCAATTTTTAAAAAGTTGTGGAAAGGATGTGGATTATCATACTTTGATAGGAAATTCACTACAGATATTTCTGTTTTTGGAAATCGCTTTCTGCATCATTCTAAAAAAGCCATATTTTTTACAATCTAATCTTCTCACTCATGTCTCTGAGAGAAAATTGCATGTCATTAGTGTTTATTATGTAATAGTATGAGAATTTATTCAGTTAATCAATAGTAATTATAATTATATAATTTAACTAGTTTTATGCTATTTATTCTAAATTTTAATTTTTTTTCAAAACACTGTTTTCTAATCATCAGTTTCTTCTTTGTCAGACCTATGGATACATCCAGGTAAGTAATATAAATCATCAGGTAATGTCAGATAAAGATGCAAAAACAATTTAAAAAGAGTGTAGATATAATAATGAACAAAAATTAAGTTTGGGCTAATTTATTTTTATTAACTAGTTTTTATTGAATACCAAAGGATAAATTATCTTTTTTAATTTTTCTTATATTTGTTATATAAAATTTATGTTTTGTTATGAGTTTTATCATTCATTACAATTTATATTATTCCTTATTTATCAATTTAAAGTTGTTAAACTAAACCTTATTATTTGTGAAATATATATATATATATTTGTGTTAAGGTAACCTCTTTGATCTGGGGAATGTTTTATTATCCTTTAAATGGTAAGAAATTGCAGGCAAATTTGCCTGTAATTTTTAATATAAATATACTTCTGATCTATTTTTTTAAAAATCTAAAATATTAAAGTAAATTTTTTTTTAATAATATTTAAAACTATAAGTTATATAATAGTTTTATTTAATTAATATTATATAGAAAAAATTTTTTTTTACTTATTGACTTAATATAAATAAATTTTAAAAAAATCGCTAATTAATTAAAAAAATTATTTACTAATTTATAGTAAATTATAAATATTAGTTTTAGGCTTATAATTTTTAATACAAAATTATAACTTATATAAAAAGTAACTTATTTCAAAATAAAAATTTTATTACTTATTAAAAAAATAAATTTGGTAAGATCTATGCAGATCTGTTATTTTAGAAAATTTTTTATAAATCTTACATTTACAATAACTTGTGATCTAGCAATCAGAATTTAATGATTTTGGTACCATTCAAACTGTCTCATCGAGTCAAATTGAATGATAACAAAATCACTAAATTCTAATTACTATATCACAAGTTATGTTATTGAACCAAATTTAATAAAACCTTAAAATTCTCAAGTTCTAGTGGCTATAATTTAATCATTTTGATACCATTCAATTTGTCTTGATTAGACAGTTTGAATGGTATCAAAATTGTTACAAGATCTCAAAATATTCGTAAATATGCTTTTTGGTAAAGTCATATAAAGAAATTCAACAAAAACAATTCGAATTTCTATACAGAAACTATACCAGAAATCGTTTTTCACAAATATCTCGAGATCTAGTAATTAGAATTTAATGATTTTGGTATTATTCAAACTATCTTATCAAGATGAATTGAAAGATGCCAAAAGGATTAAATTTAGATCACTAGAACTCAAAATTATTAAAGGTTTATAAAATTTGGTTCAATAGCAATAAATCATAACATGGTGATTAAAATCTAGCAATTTTGGTACTATTTGATTCATCCCAATAAGATGGTTTGAATCGTACCAAAATCACTAAATTCTGATCATTAAATCACAAATTATTATTAATTTTGCAAAAGCTAAATTTGATAAATTTATACCAAATTAGTTTTTTTTGATATTTAAAAATTTTTTAACAAATATTTAAAGTTTTTTTTAAATAAAATTAATAAAATACATTTAAATAATATATATACAAAAAATTATAAAAATGCTGTTAATGAATTTTTGTTTTAATTGAGAAATTTTAAATATTTTTCAAAATTGCAGGCAAATTTGCTTGCAAAACCATTTAAGAGATAGTATAAATGGTGTTTTATATTGTAATAGTACATCAAGAAATACATGCACTTTTGGTGTCTAACTTAAGTAGTTTACCAAAGTATTAGTACTATACTAAGGGGTTTACACTATTTGCTGTACCTGCACCCAACTATGGGGTTATCTATTTAAACCACCAGCCCTCCAACCCAGTGTTTTCTCACTATATGAAAGTAGATTTTGGTATCATCTATATAGATTTTGCACCCTACTTAGAACCTACTAACTTAAGCTAATTTATTCTCAAGGTAAACCTAACAGAGCAATACATGTTTTACACATGTATTCACCTGCATATTTCTATAACTTCTTATTAACGCTAAAATGATTAAAAATAAATTTTTATACAAAATTTGGAGCCACAACTTTTGATCTAAAACAGCTTGTTTGAATCATTGTGCAGGATCTATACAAAAAAAATAAATAAAAAAATAGACCACAAACGGATATAAAAGCCCCAGCAATTTGAGCTCGTTAAAAGGTGTTAATTTAAATTTCATTCCATCTAATAATTCATT